GGGTGGGGTGGGTGGGCAAGTTGTGCAAGGCCTTGTGGGAAGGACTTGGGCTCACCCCCCCACCCAAAGGTGGGAGCCCTGGAAGGCTTTGGGCAGAGGAGGGGCGGGACCTAACTCAGGTACTCACAGGTGCCCTCTGGCCACTTTGGGGAGGACAGACTGTGGGGTCAGGATGGGGGGAGGGCAGGGCAGAAGCAGCTTCTAAATCCTTTCTGTTCTTCAGGGCTCTGCTCTCAGCCATGCTTCAGGCAAATTCTCCCACTTTCCACCTTCCAACATAGAACTGATTTTCCTACTTATTGTTAAATGTCCCATGGGAATGCAGGGCCCTCCAGGGCCTCTCTCATGGGGTGAGTGAGTACCTTGGAGCCCAGATGCTCCCTGGGTGGCCCTGGGCAGCCCCTTAACCTCTTTGTGCCTGTTTCCTCATCTGCAAAATGGAACAACACAGCAGATACCATAGCATAGCTGTGAGGAATTGACCATTCATGTGTATGAAGCACACACACAGCTCCACCAGAGCACACAAGGGGAGATGCTCAGAAAACAGGGCCATGCCCTCCACCCCTCACCTTCCCCAGACTCACCCAGCGTGATGGGCTTGCTGTCCTCCTGGTCAGAGCCCATCCCTGCCCGGGGACTGCCGCTCTGCTCTGCATCTGCAAAGAGAGGAAGGAATTGGTGACACAGAATGGCCCCTGAACATTAGAGGCCCTGGGGTCTTTGCTTGGCGCCCTCCCTTGGCTGCTGCCCCAGAAGGTCATGGATGTCTGGCCAGGCACCTGTAGACATCAGCACAGGTACCCAGGGCTCACGTATACCTACGTGCTGAAATATGGCCTCACACACAGGGCAAGAAGCCATGTGCAGGGGCTGGCTCGGTCCTGGGTTAGAGCTCCTCCCCTGAGCCTCAGTCTCCTCATTTGTGAAATAGGGTAGCTCATTTAATCCTGCCTCAGCCCTAGGAGGTAGAAGCTATCATGCCCATTTTACAGATGGAGAAAATGAGGGCCACAGAGATAAATCATTGAATGCTAGGGCCCCTCCTCTCGTCCTCTGCCCTTGAAGTCCTGAGGGCTCAGCCCTTGGTCTTGGGGTGCTACTCAGGGTCTCTAGAGAGGGGGCTGAGAGGTGTCCCTCTGCAGCTACAATGCCCCTACCAATCCAATCCACCTGGCTTGGGGGCTAACTCCTGTCCCAGCACCCTCTCATCCATCTTATCTAAAAATAATCAGGCTCCTTGGCAGAGGAATGTAGCAGACAGACGCTGAGCTCAGCTTTATTGGCTCCAGTGGCCTGGATGGTGATCACGCCAGCTCCCTCTGCAGCCCCCACATCCACCCAGGACCAGGCTGGGGGG